TTTGTATTTTGTGGACCTAATTTTGTTATATTTCCTTATATATTTATGATATCTTTTATTAAAAAAAGGGTAGTTTAGTCATTTTGTACATAAAAGGGGTATTTTTAAAAATGAACATCCAAATGGGGCATTTTTGAAAAGGGGTATTGAAAAAGGGGCATTTTTGTGAGTCTCCCTTATACATATATATATATATATATATATATATATATATATATATATATATATATATATATATATATTTTAAAAATATACAATGATATTTTACACAGTATTATATATATTTTCTTAATTTTATATTATTAGAAAGTTAATTACGAATTTTGGTTAAATTTACTTATTTTAAAATTTATAAAATGGTATTATGGTAAAATCCTATACTATTATTTGGGGAGTACACTTTATAAGATACCCTTAACTAACCTTCTCTTGTGTAAAAAATTACTTAAGAATACCATTACAAAAATCTTATTTTTGAACAAATTTCATTCAATTTATTAAGGATAAACAAGTAAAATACTAATTTAAGTCATTTAATTAATTTAATTAAATTATAAAACAAAAATCTGTTATTTTTTTTTTAAATGACCAATCAAGATGAACATATAAGATTTGATATCTAACTTACCATATTAATTTGTTATTAATCATTAGACTTCACTTCTCATCTTTATATGATTATATTTATATGAAACAAATAAATCATCATATCATCTACATAATAAAAAAAAAAAGTAATTTTTTTCTGCAAATGCCAAGATTTAAATTTTTAAAAACGCATATAAATTGTTCAATCTATAAATGAAACAATTAAACGGGTCAAAAATTCAGACTTGAGTAATATATTTCTTTTAGACAAAAATAAATTCAACAAAAATTCCGACTGAACAACGGATCAGAATTTGAATATTTATATTCGATTTCATAAATTTATTTTTTTGAAATGTATAATTTTATATACTACAATAAAAAAAAATTAAATATTTTAATTTGCAATATTTAAAATAAGTTTTACTTGATATTTTTAGAGAATATCATCAATACTTAATAGCTCAAAAAGTTAAAAATTATAAATACTCTAATTTGATTATTTTAAAAAATATTTATAATAGGTAGCAGGTTAAATATAATATATTATATGATGAAATGAGTTTTGATCCTTATAACTATTTGAATAGTTATATTTAATTTCATATAATTTGTTTTTTGAAATTCATAATTTTATAAACTACAAAAAAAATTTAAAGATTTTAATTTGGAATATTTAAAAATAGTGTAGAACATTTAAATATGGTTTGACACCTCTAAATATATGAAAATTTGATTCCGCAAGCAATTTTAGAATTAACGAATAATAGATTGTGCACACAATATTTTAAAATGAAATATTGAGATTCTAAAATAAAAATATAGACTCCACGCACAGGTTGATTTTGGTATTATTATATACTAAATATATGTTTATAACATATTCGATTATGCGAATAATTGGTAAATCCGTAGTTATAAATCTCAAACAAATTCTGTAATTAGATTAGCTCAAACAAATCTCAATTTCAACAACCAAAAAATTATAAATTGAAAAGGAATTTTCTAAATTAATTCAAAATAATAGTTAATTTTCTTAATTAGTTCAAAATAATCTATGTTTTATATGCGATTCATTTATGATATTTTAATTTTTAATCTAACTGAAATATATGCAATCCTATTTTGTGGTTGTTAACATAAATTAACTCATTGTTCCAAAAATATTACTTTTTAAAAAATAAAATTATTTTCCGTTTTCATATCTTAAAAAAAAAATTATCCACAATTGAGTATTATAGAAAAAAATCTATATTTATTCTAATTCTAATATTGTATATAGGGACTGACAAAAAATTAATATTTTTTCACTTACTATTATAATATATTAAAACTTATTTCTAATATATATATTATATAAATTTTGTAATAAATAAAATTCAACCCGTACTTTAGTACGGGTGATGATCTAGTTTCAATGGAAAACTGTAGTTTCCAAATTACCAAATTGGGTGTATTTTTCAAATTTCTTACAAAATTTGGTACATTTATAGAAATTCCCCTCATTTGTTCATTTTAGTCCATTTTGTTTTTGTACATTTTTTTAGAACATTTGTTATTCATGATTCCTTTTATTCCAATACCATAATTTTAATGGTTAATACAAAATTGGTATATTGTAAGAATAATAAAATATAAATACGGTCTACAGTACAAGCATGAATGATTGTTTTATTAACGATCATCTAGTCAACGAATTGCAAAGAGGCAATTTTATAGAAGTTGGCCAGTTAACCACCTTTGAAACATGATAGAGCTTTCCTCTGGTTTATATTCTGCTGTATGCCCACCTCCCTGTAAATTAAATTAAATTAAAGTCAAATCTTAAACCTTTTCCTATGTAAAGTTTACGGAAAAGATTTGTATAAATGCAATGGAAATATAAAAGATCACTTGCTTTGACAGTAGCATATGTCATCTTATTTGCATAAGTCTGAGTGTATCCAGCAACTTGATTGTTTATCATCCATGGCCTCCAATTGTCAATGATGGAGTAATTAAGAGATCTTATCCATGCTTGTGTTGAGATGAATGGTACCACCAAGTCGTGATCGCCGCTATTCTCCACAAAATAAAAATCTCAACAACTTTTATAACAACTCTTGAAACTGATTTGTATCAGATTAGAAAGTTGAAAATCCATCAATCTTACTTGTAGATGAGAGATCGATAACCTTTGATACTGTTATTCATATGGTCTGGTACGCTGCTTTTAATGTCCACATTATAAGGCGTATCGAAAGAAGCACATCGAACCCATTTTCTTATACTTCCCTTAAGTCATAAATATAAAGTATGTTTAATCAAATATGGAATGATCATTCGTTTAAAAATTTCAAATGTATTAGTCATAAATTTTTAGAAAACTTCATCGACTTTAGAAATTTATGTTAAATATAAATATATTTTAATATATATCTTAAAATTTTAAGACTATTATGATTTGAAAAAAAACTTTTACATCTACTGCTGTTAGAAATATTTTAAGCTAGCATACTTTTATACTAATGACTTTAGTGTGTTTAAAAGGATTTCTGAATAAAAATAATACTATAAATTCATCCAAATCTAATTTTTCTAAATTCATCCAAAAACTATTAGTAATTTTTTATCAACACTCAAATCATTCAAAATATTAGAGTTTCGATAGTATTTTTAGCATTAAAAATTTAAAACTGTGACTTAAAACCAAAACTCGTTATGTATAATATATTAATATTATATACCTTTACCACATGAAGTGCTCTGCGAACGCTCTCGTCATTGGCCCAATTGGAAGAAATCAAATCTGTATAACTCTTCAAGTGGGTGAAAATTTAATTTTGTGTATATATTTCTATCTCAATGGTTTTGGTTGTTCATTACTTTTCCAACATATATATGTGATAGTAAACATAAAATTAGACAAAGAGCAAGAAAATGAAATGCTTACATAGCAATCAGTAAATGGAACGGAAAGGCTTGGAAGGACAAGTTCTTCAATGTATCTTTTTGGAGATGACAGAACTTTGCACAGTGGTCTTGTAATAAGATTTTGATTTATCCTAGCAATGCACTGCAAATTTTACCACACAAATTTTTTTTGAAAAAATCAAAATCTACCCCTTCCGTTCTTTTTTATTTGATGTTTGAAGAGAATGCACACAGATTAAAAAATAATTTATTTTTTTATTTATTTCTAAGCTAGAACATCATTTATTATCTATCCAAACATGAATGACTCTTCCACTATACTAGAACCATTAGCCCACCACCTCTGGTTCACATTTTTTTTCTTGCTTGGGGAGGCCACAATTTTCACTTGATATATAACACTATGAAGAGCGTATACCTTATTGTATTCTTCAACAAAATTCAAGCATTCTGTATTAACTGGATCTACATTTTCATAACTTCCTTTGCAGCTGCGCTTCAACGACTGCACACAAAAGAACGAAGTTTTTTGGTTATCTAACTTCATTAATGTGGTGCATTTTTCATTTTTGTACCTCGTAGAGTTCATCAGAGATCAATGCCATTCCATGAGCAAATGGAATGCGAAGGTTATGCTCAACTTCGGTGTCTGTTACCGGATTTCCTATGACATAACCCTATTATTGAGATCAAATGAAATTGTCAATTCGTTCCAAAATTTTTGTATATAAATAGGAAGAAGCCAACTACAAATGTTTAAAACCTCAAGATTTATTTGAGGTTCGAACCCAAGATCAATTCCTGCACGCTCGACATCATCATGTAAAAACTGTTATAATGTGGAAAGTACATAATTAAAAAAAAAAAACACCTAGAAAGAAAAGAGATGTATCATGTATGTAAGAACACACACATACCTTTGGAGATTTCTTGAACGGTTGCCGGAATAACTTTACCAGAATAAGAATCTCCGCAGACATAGAAAGGATTTGAGATAAACTCTTTATGCTTGCTTAGCCACTGTATAACAACAACAACAACAAAAACTATGTTGCCATACATGTATCAACATGAAGCCTAAATCGAAGCTTGATAGTCTACGAACAAGAACCAAACCGATAGGAAGACAAAGAATTCCGTAACTCAATCAAGAATAGAATGAAAAGAGAGAAGACCAAAAGAAAAAAGAAGATGGCGATGCGATGTTGAGTCTCAATCGGTGTTATCGATAATACTTCTCGTCTATAATGGAATCCAGCAATACGTCAATAACTAGAGCTAACCAGGTGATTCATGTTTACCATTCAACAAACAATAATAACAAAACCACTCTAAATGATGTCTTTCTAAAACAAGATAAATGCTTTAAGAAACAGTAAGTTTGTATTTTTGTTTACCTTACGCATAAACTCATGGATCCGCTTAGCTTCTCCCGAGTCACTTGGTGTATCAAGAAGTTGAGTTTTTGCATAGGAGAAGCCAGTCCCAACAGGCTGGTCCAAGAATATCATGTTCGCCACCTAAAAACAATTAATCTAAGACTTGAAAAACTACATCAAGAATACTAAAACGAGCCACATGACAAGCACTCTATGTATAATGTTACCTTTGTCCATGAATATGTAGTAGAAAGCAAGGTGGGGCTACCTCCATTGTAACCATCAACCTTGAATGTCACAGGCCCTGTTTATTTATTTTCAATATAAACAAAGTGTTTTTAAAACTATATTTATTTAGATAAATAAAAATTACAAATTCATTTGTTGTGTTTGATTTAAAAAAAAAAAAAAAGAGTTTTACCGTTCTCAAAAAAAAGACCAGTGGTGGAAGAGCAACCAGGTCCACCGCTCAACCAGAGAAGAAGAGGATCTTCTTTCGGATTATTCTCAGACTTTATAAAGTAGTAAAACAATTGCACTTCCTCTTCTTCACCAATACCAATATACCTTCATTATCACAAACCATTGAGATACTATAATACACTTTTTAACCCGTAAAACTCAAAAACACATGCAAGAAGATCATATATATGATATAAGAAACACAAACCCGGTTTCGAGCTCGAAAGGAAGAGGACCTTCAAAACCAGGAAGAAACTTGACAATGGAGCCAGAATCAGCATGTGGCGTCAAGACAAGTAGAAGCAGCAGCATCGACAACTTTATTAGAACCATTGATGGAACATACTCATGATTAGTCATTCTATTTTTGTAGCTTCTAATGATGAATTCGATTCCTTAAATACAAACACATGTTTATAAACTACTAAAAGAAGAAGATGGAGTAGTTAGGTAGCGTTTTTATTTATTTCATAGCCTTTGAATAGGGGCCCTTCTTCCCCATATTTGTGTGGATGAGCCATTTCCACATTGGTATGGTAAGGTTGGTTTTGTCGACATTTATATCCCAAAAAAAAAAAAAAAAAAAAAAACTGGTTTTTACGCCGATATCGAAGTAAGCAATTTGGAATTATTTTATTTTTATTATTTTGGGTTCTTCCTAACAACAACAAATTCAGAATTGGGTGTAATATTTTCGAAAAAGTTGTGGACAGATTCGTAGCCTAAACTTATTGCGGTTGTTAGAGATGTAGAAGCACCCATAAATACTTTTAAATAAGTATGATAAGGGACATTGATGAACTCGTGTTGTAGATATATATATATATATATACAAGTTTCTAGTTCTTTCAAGTTGTGGTGTTCAAATGGGCCACCATGACCTGCTAAATCTGCCTGTGACAAATATTTGTAATGTAACTTTGCTTTTATATTTTGAAAGCTATTAGTTCAGACAGAATGTTTTGGTTTGAGACTAAACAAGGTTAAACTGTGTGAAAAAAAAAAAAAAGGTTAAACAGTGTGATTAAAGTTAAAATCAAAACTTTCGGTGGAAAAACAGATCGATCAACCTAATTTTTATGTAAAATCAGTAGTATACTACAAAAAAAAATGAAACTCCTAGGGCCCGTATTACATTTGTTCGACTTCGACAGAGAAGCCACATTTGCAGCGTTTCGTTTTCACAGAGGTTTCCTCATCAAAGGTTTCTTGCTCATCAAGAAACACATGTTCATGGCTTTCATCTTCATTGCGAGACTTTCTTGCTCGTGACTTTTCTCCTTTCTTAGCCACTCTTTGCTTTTCAGGTGCTTTCACATTCTTTGCCTTAACGACCGTGTCTGAATTCACTTCCAAACTCTTGGTTTCGACATCCTTAGAGTTATTAGCGTAACGACTTTTTAATCTTTCACGGGTTAAGATAGACGAAAGAAGCTGATACCATCTCGAAGCTGCTTGTGCTTCATTTCTTCTTCTCTCCTCTTCTTCTCTCTTTTCTTGTTCTTCTGCATATGCCTAACCAAAACCAACAAAAAAGAAAAGATATAACCAACGGATCCATATTCAAAACATGGTATTCTGTGTTTCAGATTGACAATTAAAGAGATTATACCTCCAGGATTGTGTCTTTGAACTCGGTGCAGACCACAATACCTTCAAAAATAGGAGTAGCACCTCCACTTCTGTACTCGAAACCAACCATGGCTGGTGCATAATCTATACCGAATCTCTTAGCAACCGAAAATATTCGAGGAAACCTTAAGTGGACTGTTCCAGGTGGGAGACATTTCTCAGACCAGACATCAACTTGACCCCGTTCGTTCTGAAAGAGAAGAAAAGGATTATATACTATTCCCGTCTACAAAGTATATTAAGTTTTGTTTTGAAGTATTAATTGAGTTGCAACTGCAGAGGGATAACTTTTTGGGAGATTTCTACGGATTCCATGGAAGCGATATAAACAAAAAACAAACACAACAAAATTGTTTTTACCTTAGGCACAATTCCATTAACAGCGTGAGGGAGACACAATGGTTCCATTTGCCACTTTCCATATAGTTCCATGCAATAAGAACCACCGTTAATGTTGTTGTCGCCATCTCCCAAATCTTTTGATTTCTTGAACTTCGAGTTCCGCTTAAGAATCTAAGGTATTAATGGACTTCAAGAGTTACTCATCAAACCGGAAAAAAAGAATAAGATAATCATCAGGGAGAGAAAAAAACATGGAAACCTTTGAGGGAACTTCATTCGCCTTAAGTTGTAACCCATCACGAAGCCATCTTTCTTTTGTTTTAAGAGTCTGCACACAGGTTCGAGGATATACTGGATGACCAGAGCAAAATCCCAGAACTGGACCTTTTGGGTGAAGTATCTGATTCTTGTGAAGCCATTTCTCAATAGCATAGATTTCGTGAGTTTTATAAGCCTGCAAGATTAAATAAAGGGAGTTTTTTAGCTGAAGGGTTTCAGTGAAGCATGAGCTTTAAATTTGTTTGTCGGGTTACACCCACTTTACCTGTTGGTTAGTAGGAAGAGGCTCAGTCAACGCCCGTGTAGCCAACTCCATATCTTCAAGAGCACTTCTTATACCAAAGGACGAGCTACTCGAGGAAGCTCTGTTAGCAACAGGATTTAGGCTACTGAAATTTCTCAGAGCAATGTCTTCATTGTGAGTTGCGGCTGACTCGAGATGTATTAACGGTGCTAATACCATATCCCACCACACTGAACACACCCGTTTGGGTGAAATAGTGTGCCACTTTGTACAGTACCTGAATAAGAAAAGTGTCAAAAGGAAATTAGATGTAAAGACAAGTATCTAGAAATGGAAACTGTTTGCAGGCAAAGGAAATCTAAAAATAGAAGATGGTGATTGTCCAACAAAGTAATTGTAATACAGGCAATAGAAAACCTGCGAGTGACATCTTTGGCTCCACCACCAGCAAAAGCAACAACATATCTGAGAACGGTTTTGCATGCAGCAGCTGCTGCTTCAACGTTTTTCTCTGCGTCTATCATTCCATTAACAGCATCGACATGGACCCATCTCCCATCAATGTTTTCTCCATTGCAATACACCTCAGCCCAACAAAGGGGAGAATCTACTTTCTTAGAACCAATAGCCGTGGATATTACTTGGTCAGAAACTGACGAGCTATCACTTGTTTTTGTTATTTCACGAATTTTCTTTTTATTGTTCACTTGAGAGCTCTGTTGGTTGTTTGCAGTTGCAGACAAAGCCATGGCTATTTGCCTCTCAAACTCAACATCTCCTTTCCTCCTTGTTCCGTCAGATTTTCTGGACATTCCTGCTTCACAAGATGAATTGACTGCATTGTCTTGTAACTGATCAGAGCCCAGGGGATTCCCACGCTGAGGCTCAGACGTGTCAAAGATACTTTTATTCTTAACATGGGAAGAAGATTTCTTCGGGTGTGACGAGATGGCCTGCTGTTTTGGTACCATAAGTGTTGAGGTCCTGAATATCCCATGCTTCATTTTAGCTCTATTTTGACCTGATGATTCATCCCTATCGGCCCCTGGTTTTAAGGATGCAACATCAAGAATAGACACAAACCTGTGAAACTCAAGTTAGTACGGAAAACTCCAAACACGCTTGGCATACTAAGCCGTAAGTATTATAAATAAGCAACACTCCAGAAACTATGGTACTGTATATAGTTATCTGACCAAGATTAATCTTGAAAAGCATAATGTCAATGAACGTAATGGATCTGAAAATTTAGCCAGATAGGACTTAGGACTCATATGCCACTTTAGACAAGGTGTCATAGATACACAGAGCAAAAAACAGATTCACTACCATGCTCAGAAACCAAATATAAATACTATATTGTGGCAACAGTAACAAGTATCACATACCGAGTTGTGAGATTTAATGCTCTAAGCAAAGCAACAGCCAATGCTGCAAGCTGCAAAAATGATTCCATAAGTTTCGTAAATTGAGATTTCAACAATACAAGTAACCAAATAATAAAAAGGTTAAATGTCATAAATCTGATCACAAGCTTACCTCTTCCGCTGTGCCTTTACGAGATTCAAGAGCAAATGCTAGGGAAGTACGAAAAGATTTCTCAGAACTGGGAGAACACCTAACAGAAAAGTTTTCACGAACCTACAATTTAAGCCAGGGAGAAGTTGTTTAACTTTCCATCAGAACAAAACAAAACAAAAACTACAGGCCAGTAAATCCATACCCAACGAAGAAGAGGGGCTATATCCTTGACAATAACTTTCTCGAGATTTGAAACTTTTGTCAGGTATGATGGTAGAAGTGAAAGCAAGGCAGCCTGTGCGTTAAATTTAAGAAATAAAAATTTATATCGCAGGTTGCAATAAGAAAAAGATAACTTTGAAGCAACTGCTAACACTGCTGTATTCAATTTATTTACCTGAATCAAGGGATCATTACAAGCATCATCAACTATCCTCCCTCTTGCAAGCAGACAGAGCAAGTGAACCTTATGGACAAGTTCCGCCCGTTCCTTTAAGAAAAGGCAAAAATCTCTTAAGTGACCACTCATTTTAAAGAATAAACAGAAGTAAGCATATCGTAAGTACAGTATACCTTGTCTTCTGCTGTTGCACGGTATGCAATCTTCTGCTTCTTAGCATCAGGAACATCATCATCAAATTCTATGGTTAACTCTCTGGTGTCATCAACATTAGTAACATCAACCGTACTATCAAGACTAGGGATTGGACAGTCTTCCCAGTCTGAATCATTCATTTCATCCTCATCATCAACCGTACCACATTCCCTGTCCTCTAGAACGTTATCAGTCAATCTTGCCTCGACCGCTTGCTTTCCCTTCCCGTTTACGCCTTTGTCCCGCTGCAATGATAGAATATTATAATAATTTAACACTCACACACAACAGAGGAACAAGAAAAGAAAAAAAATCACCATTTTCCCAAGAAAATCTTTATGCAAAGAACAAGGAAAATAGCTTTCTACAGCCATTGATAATTTGGTTAGTACCACGGACTTCACAATCTTCAAGGAAACCTTGAAAACAATCAATAGAATTCGTTGCTCCTAACATCTTAAGTACCCTTAGTGAAATCAGATTAACAATAATGTTGTTTGCATGAATAGAAGAACAAACCTTTGCAGAATCACAATTATCATCTTTCTTCTTCTTGCCTCGAGAGCCACGAGCACTGCTTTTGTCTAGAACTTTGTTGACTGCTTCTCTAGAGGCTGCTGCAAGTCTACCATTCTTACTTTCACTTGTAGACTTCATCTTACTCTTCTCAAGAGAAACCTATAAGACAATGGTAATACATTACCAAAAACGATTCATCGTAACTCTTTGCAACTTTCATCAATGATTAAACTTAAAACAATTTTAATTCCAATGGCAATTTATGTTCTTGCATAGTTCTTGAGGTTTACATTACCTAACAAAGAGACAATATTTAGTAAAAAGACAAAAGCTTTCTCAATAATCATTCTCACCGGAAAAATTACATATCGTCAAACACTCTTCAATAGACGAGCAAAGATGGTTTTTTCTCCTCGCTTTTCTCAACAGTCAGGGGATTATAAAGCACGGAAATACAAATTTTAGGTCTCAAAGATACTTACCTACCCACGACTCGATCATGCGACTCACAGCCGTCGGAGACAGAAACTATTCGACGACGGAGCCAAGGATTTCACGCGCCAATTCTCCCGACAACGACCGACGTACGGGAAACAAAACCTTCTCCGGCTCCGAGAGAAGTGGAACGATAAGGGTCATTGATTTCTCTAAGATGGGACCCACCATTTCAATAAACCGCCTCGATATCGCCACGTCACTTCTTCTTTTGTGTCTTCATTAATAATTAATTATTAGTTTTAATAAGACTTTTTTTGCAAGACAACAAATTCCCTGATATCATCATAGTCATACTGACAACAAGCTTTTGGTCAAAAAAACAAGAATTCCTCTTTTGGGCTTAGAACTCTCTTTTTCGGTTAGAGTATTTCACACTAACGAAAATAGAGCTTCAGAACCGGAAATACACTTTCCCTTTGGCTTTTCCATCCTGTTTATCTCTGTTTTAACCTAAATTGATTGCTCCTCTCTTGGCGGCTACTTCTGTTCTTCTGATATCAGCTCTCGGTTTTCATTCAGTCTCTAACTTCTCGATTAGAAGCTGATTAAAGTCTGGATTCGTGTTACTCTTTCGATTTTCTCAAGTATCTGGCTTTGTCGATCGGCTTAAGGATTCTGGATCTTCAGCTGCGGGTTTCAAAGAGTAGATCTTCAGTTGCGGGTTTCGGTGTTATTGCTTGTTTTTCTTCGGGTGTTGCTGTTCCACGATGTCTTCAGCCATGGATAAGGCCATGATGGCCATGTCTCTTGATGAGGAAGACCTTCCTTTTGAGATGCCGGATCTTCCACAGTACAGCTCGTGTGAGAAGAATGTTCTCAGTTTAGTTGGTCGGCTCCTCAACCCGCAGAGCCAAAGTATGTCCAACCTCATTCTCAACATGCCAAGGAAATGGCAAAAGGTTGGTCGAGTGCGCGGAGTGGCTCTCTCCTTGGAAAAATTTCAGTTCATTTTCAATAACGAGCATGACTTGACAGAGGTTTTAGAGAAAGGTTTTCAGACTTTCAACGAATGGGGGATCTTAATGGAGCGGTGGTCTGAAACACCTCCTCCGGATTCGCTGCAATTCACCCCTCTTTGGGTCCAAATAAGAAACATTCCGCTCAACTATTACACGGAGCAAGCGATTACTTGCTTGGGTGACTTGGTAGGTCAAGTTACGGAGGTTGTTTTTGATCCTGCAAAGCCTCAAAATAAAGAATTTGTCAGGGTAAAGATAAATTTCGACGTCTCTAGGCCATTAAGGAGGACAAAGCTCATCAATCTGCCAAAAGGTTTATCCACTACTGTCAGCTATTTCTATGAGAGAGTCCAAAAACGTTGTTACAGGTGCCAGCGACTCACTCATGAACAAGAAGCTTGTCCCATTCAGCTCAAACAGATTCAAGATCAAATCATTGATAGGAAAATGGGGAGGAAAGTGGAAAAATCAAAAGCTCCTCTGGTTTTAAAGCAAGGTGACGTCCTCTTTGGTGTTCTCAAAGAGGAGCAGGTTGGTATTCATCCTCTATTAGGACGGCCTCGGATAGCTCCAGATGTCTTAGAAGGGATGAGACAATATCTTATGGTGGCTAATGGAGAAGAACGTTTAATCCGTGAAGAAAGAGTGAAGAAGTCTGTTGCTGAAGCAGAAAAAGATCCGATTTCGCAGAAGACTGTGTTGAGATTGGAGCCTGCCCCGATTGTTTCTAATGATTTCGACAAAGGAAAAGGGATAGTCTTCGGATATGAATCTTCAAGCACTTCTCCTAAAGTTGTTCCTTTGTCTGCAGCTCCTTCTCCTAAGATCTCTGGCTTGGGTTCTATGGATTATCTTGCGGGAAGTTCTCTGATTCCCAGTTCTCTGGATGGTGGGGAGGCTTTGGTCGATTATTCTTACTCCTCCTCTTTTTCTCAGCCTAGTTCTACGGGATATGAGGTTGGCTTCTCTGGAGCTAGCCCATCCGGGACTAAGCAAAGAAAAACATCGAGGAGAAAGAGACCTTACATCAGCAAAAGGAAGCCTAAAACTGCAGCAGAAGCTCCTGGATATGGTGCAGGTATTGATCAGGTGCCCAAAAGTGCAGGGCTCCAAGTTGGTGCTATGGAAAAAAGGAAAGGTGTGATGGTAGAACCAGAGGAACAAAAAGCTGCAAAGCGTAATCACAAATTGGCGGTCCCAAATGAGGGACTGTCCAATGTTTAATGAGCATAATGAGCTGGAACTGTCAGGGTTTGGGGCGGCCTCAAGAATTGACAGTTCAACGTCTCATGGAGATGCGTAAAAAACATTTCCCGGAGATCCTGTTTCTAATGGAGACTATGAACATAAGGAATGTGTTAGTTGATATTCAAGTTTGGCTTGGTTATGATCGTGTATATACTGTGGAACCAGTTGAAAGGTGTGGCGGTCTAGCTTTATTTTGGAAGAAAAGTGTAGATATAGAGATTCTGTCTGCGGATAAAAACATCTTGGATTTGTTTGTAAATATGGGTAATTCAAGTTTCTTCTTATCTTGTGTATATGGGAACCCTAACAGTAGTCTAAGGAACCAAGTATGGGAAAGATTATCAAGATTGGCTATTAATAGAACTGATTGCTGGGCTATGGTTGGGGACTTCAACGAGATCCTTCACAATGGTGAAAAACTAGGAGGTCCAAGAAGAAGTGAAGCCTCTTTTTCAGATTTTGCTGATATGTTGAATGTAGGTGGGATGGTTGAGTTGAAAAGCACCGGGAATGGTTTTACTTGGGGAGGTAAAAGAAATGATTTGTGGATTCAATGCAAATTGGACAGGTGCTTTGGGAACAAAGATTGGTTTAGATGTTTTCCGGCTTCTAACCAAGCTTTCTTGGATAAAAAAGGTTCCGATCACAGGCCGGTTATGGTAAAGCTTGTTTCTTCCCAAGACTCTTATAGAGGCTCCTTCAGATTCGATAAAAGAATGCTTCATAAACCGATGGTAAAAGAAGCGGTCTCCCAGGCTTGGAATGCTTCTACTTCTGTCTTTGGGCAAAGCATTTCTGAAAGGCTTAGAAGATGTAGAAAATCTCTCAGTAATTGGAAGAAAGAGAATGGGACTAATGCTAAAGTTAAGATTGATTTGATTCAGAGAGAAATTGAAGTGGTTCATGCTTCAGTTTTCCCTTCCTTTGACAGGATGCGTGTTCTAAAGAGAGATCTTGTCCTTGCTCACAGAGAAGAAGAGAGCTATTGGCAGCAAAAGACAAGACAAAAATGGATGCATTCTGGAGACAAGAACACGAAGTACTTCCATGCTTCGGTTAAATCTGAAAGATCAAGCAATGGGCTGGACTTGCTGGTGGATGACGATGGGAACACGCATAAATCAGAAGCTTCCAAAGGCGATGTGGCAGCCAAGTATTTTCATGACCTCTACTCGTCCTCTTATCCGGATAATTGTGAGCAGATTTTTCATGATTTTATCCCCAGAATCACTAGTGATATGAATGAGTCGCTTTTGAGAGAGGTTACCAAAGAGGAAGTGAAAGACGCAGTTTTCTCAATCAAAGCTTCTAGTGCCCCTGGTTATGATGGTATGACTGGTTTCTTCTTTCAACAGTATTGGGAGATTGTTGGAAGTCAGCTTACTGTGGAAGTTTTGAGGTTTTTCTCTGAGGGCTGCTTTGAAAAAGAATGGAATTTCACCCAACTTTGCCTTATCCCCAAGAAGGTAGGTGCCTCTGCTATGAAGGATCTTAGACCCATTAGCTTATGCTCGGTCATGTATAAGGTGATTTCAAAGATTCTGGTATCAAGATTAAAGCCATTGTTGTCCAAGATTGTTTCACCTAACCAGTCAGCCTTTGTGGAAGAGAGACTCATATCTGATAACATTTTAATCGCCCATGAAGTGGTTCACAGTCTACGGACTCACTCAGCTTCTTCAAAAGAGTTTATGGCCATAAAGACTGATATGTCTAAAGCTTTTGACAGAGTGGAATGGAGCTACTTAAGGAATCTTCTCACTGCTTTGGGGTTTCATGACATTTGGGTGGAATGGATAATGAAGTGCGTCACCACTGTCTCTTTCACAGTGCTCATCAATGGACAGCCTCATGGTTTAGTGATTCCTCAGAGAGGTTTGAGACAGGGAGATCCTTTATCTCCTTTCCTGTTTATTCTATGTACAGAAGGACTCACTCACCTACTCAACAAGGCTGAGAATAATGGTTTGATTAGTGGACTGCAGTTTTCTCATCAAGGACCTTCAATTCACCATCTCCTTTTTGCAGATGATTCCCTCTTCATTTGCAAAGCTCTTGAAGATGAATGTGCAGCTTTTAAAGAGATACTGGATTTGTATGGTAGAGCCACGGGACAGATCATCAATTTGGATAAATCCTCTATCACTTTTGGGTCTAAGATTCCAGATCTTGACAAAGCTCTAATCCAAGCCAAGTTGGGTATCTTTAATGAGGGTGGTGCAGGCACTTATTTGGGTCTCCCTGAATGTTTTAGTGGGTCTAAGGTAGAGATGCTTGATTATATTCATGGCAGGTTGAAAAACAGGCTCTCAGGTTGGTTTGCAAGAACCTTATCTCAAGGTGGTAAGGAAGTTCTAATCAAATCTGTAGCTATGGCAATGCCAGTTTATGCAATGTCTTGCTTTAAGCTACCAAAATCCACCTGTGAATCCCTATCTAGTGCGATGTCTGCTTTTTGGTGGAGCAATTTGGAACACCACAAGAAGATTCACTGGGTTTCTTGGGGTAAGCTCTGCCTTTCTAAAGATAAAGGTGGACTTGGATTTAAGGACATAGAACTGTTTAATCAAGCTTTGTTAGCTAAACAGTCCTGGAGACTATTACATGACCCGGCCTGCCTGCTTTCTAGGTTCCTAAAAAGCAGATATTATGAGGATTCCTCAGTTCTGGAGGCTAGGCTGGGAGACAGGCCTTCTTTCGCTTGGAGAAGCATCCTGCATGGGAGAGAATTATTGATTAAAGGCTTGAGACAAGGCATAGGAGATGGTGCCTCTGTTAATGTGTGGACAACTAGGTGGATTCAAGATGATGTCTTAAGACCTCCTTTCATGAAAAACATCATTGTGAATTATGATTTAAAGGTGCAGGACCTAATTGATCCTATTACCAAGAGATGGGACGAGAACTGTCTCCAGGAGCACTTTTTCCCAAGAGACCAGTCCATTATTAGGAGAATCAAGCCAGCTACTTCTTCTCCGGATTTTATGGTGTGGTTACACAACAGAAGTGGGACTTACTCGATGCGTTCTGGCTATTGGTTAGCCTCTCAGAATCATAATGTTGATCTTCTTTTAGAGGCTGCTGCTTTACCTTCCATCAATCCCATTAAGGATAAAATCTGGGAAGTCCTTGCTCCTTCTAAGATTAAACTGTTTTTATGGAAAGCTGTTAGTGGAGCTTTACCTGTGGCTGAGCGTTTAATGACAAGAGGAGTCAGGATTGATCCTCGATGCAGTTCTTGTGGCTTTGAAGGAGAATCAATAAACCACTTGTTGTTTCTTTGTCCTCTTGCAAGACAGATTTGGGCTCTCTCCAACATTCCTTCTCCGATTAATGGTTTTGAGGATCATTCTTTGTTCCATAATGTGCATTATGTTCTTCTGATGGCTAAAGACTTAAAGCTACCTATTGCATCGAGAAGATCTGTCCCCTGGATTATTTGGATCCTTTGGAAGAACAGGAACAGTATTCTCTTTGAAGGTAGGACTTTCCATCCTTTGGACATTGTTACTAAGGTACTGGATGACTCTGAGAAGTGGTTTTTAGCCCAACAAGTTGAGAAAGAAGAAGAGTTTAAATCTGCTAGAGTTGGGGCTGGTGGCCGCAAACTTTGGAAGCCTCCCGATCACTCATGGCTTAAATGCAACATTGCTTCGTCCTGGGATAAACATAACAGAATTGGTGGAGGCGCATGGGTTCTTAGAAATTCAAGAGGTGAGGTTTTGCTCCATAGTAGACGATCTTTCGGTGGGATGGAGTCAAAGCAAGATATTGAATTGGAATGCTGGCTGTGGGCTTTGGAGAGTATGAGGAGCCTAAGGATTAGAAGATTTGTGCTGGCTGTTGAAGATAAATACCTTATGGATGTGGCTCTCCGTCCCGATGCATGGCCCTCTTTTAAGTCTCAGTCAGAGTCCCTTGCATTTGCACTCAGTCACATTCCTTTTTGGAAAATTCAGTTTGAAGAGAGAAGTGCTAACAAAGGAGCCTTCCTTATTGCTCAAAGTGTGACAAGAGAGGATCGTCGACAATCATACGTAGCTTCGGGCTACCCTTTTTGGTTACATGATTTGTTCAATGAAGAGATGTCTACTACTTAGTTGTGGTTGCTTTTGTATTCTCTTCAGTGTAGGTGATTGTCTTGGATCCTCATCTTTTTGATCGGATTGTAATCTGATTTCCTCAAGTTATCAATATATTGAATCATTCAGTCGAAAAAAAAAAAAAATCATAGTCATACTGAACAACACCAACGTCGTTTTACACGACTCGAATTCGCGATCGCGTTTAAGATTAACATGGTACACAATTCTCTGATCTGAACAAAACTGAAGATCCTTTTTTAAAAAAAACATAATTTTCTCCTACAAAAAGCTAAAGACAATGTGACATTTTTTATCCAAAAGACGTGAACTTTTTCAACCCGTCATTCCTGGGAAGAGCTGCGATATCTTGTTGAACACATCCATTACCTGCAATCAATGTATAACCTCAAATTTCTTACAAAAGTAATTGCCTTTTCAGGCAATCGAGAAACGGCAGAAGATCAAGTATTATTACCTCTTTGTCGTTTTGGTACTTCATGATGTTCATTGGGTTCTCTGAGCACTGCAACAACAACAAGAATCAAAATTGGTTTCTGTTTTGTATGAAGAAGGGAGCGAGATAAAATCAAAGCAATTCTCTGTTTCAGGTTAAAAGAAAACGTACCTCCATTAATGCTGCTTGGACTCTAGGATTCTGGAATGCCATGGCAACATCAGGGTTCTCCATGATCTTAGATATGACTTCTTCTGGAGTCAGTCCTATTTGATCTGTGATGTATGGTTTCGGTCAATGAGTATCATTCCTATTTAACGTCACAAAGATTTAAGTATAACCTTGGTAGGTAGAAATTGCTTACTGAATTGTTGCTTCACTTCAGGACTATTCAGGTCAAAATTCTTCAATGTATCTGTCATTCGCTTGTCCCATTCACCACTCCCACTCATATTATTCCTAAATCCATGAAAACAAACAAACAAGAGTATTTCTTTATTATTTAGTTTAGACATTCTTAAAAGCAATGGACTCGAATAAATTTGTTCATAAACTGGAGCTTACAACATGTCCTGTAGCTGTTGACGGTACTGAGGATTTTTAAGCATCCCTGCAAAATTCCAAGTGGAGACAATAACAATCAAACTCAATGTCAATTAGATCATTCTTTCAAGAGTGGGTAGGTAAAATATTTTTTATTATGACTAGTTCAAGTTTTCATGCAAAAATCCAAATTTGAAAATAAGCAAACAGGATTAAATATTAACAGACTTACATTTGAAAGTTTCTGGGTTTCTCATCTCCTCAGGCAAGTATCTGCATTTATACATGCAATGTTACACTAAGCAACCAGTTTTAAAGATCAACTTAATAGAAGCATTTAAAGACAATGCGATAGGGAAGGTGAGTTACGGGTAAACCATCTTCTGGACTGTTGGATCTTCCATCATTTTCTCTAAAGCTTCTACAGACAAACCCGCCCCTCCTTTCCCACCGCCTGTGTAAACAAGAGACAGACTAAGGATTCAGTTTTGAAACTTGGAAGAAGAAAAGAGAGACTATTATGTAAGCAGATGAGAAAAAAGGAATCATAACAAATGAGATATCGCTAGGCTAATATGCCAGTATACCAAAATCATATATCTGAAGAAACAATCCTTATGCACTGTTCTTTTACTGAGAAAATTATGTATACCTAATAAGCATTCCATACTGTTGCAAGTCTTATATGGTTATACCAATACATATCAACGACTAGAAGAAGGACACATGTAACAGAGTAGATCTTTTAGAAGCCAAGTCATTCCTCTTTATCACCAATTTAATATCTTCCTTTGTTTATAGTTGTTGGCATAGGCTATAAAATAAAATGAAAATCTCTAGCCTTAATCATGAATCAAGCACAGTGCTCTGATAGTGATGAAAAATGCAATCCATTAACTCACCCAAAGATTGAAAAACCTCTGAAGCAGTGGCACCATTTGCCGGACCAGCTCCATTTTGCAAAACCTTCACCCAAGGATCAATAAGGGAGCACAGAAACCTCCTAGTTTAGCAAAATCATGTCACGTTTTCAAATCTGTGCAAATAGAAAAGAAAACGAAACTTACATCCTCAAACAAGCGAGTTTCTTTGGGGGAACTAGTTTCAGAGACTTCAGCATAGTTGCTAAATGGGCTTTCTTTTGTGGTTTCCTCGGGTGAAATGTCTTCAAAGGCTGCATCCAAAATTAAATCAGCTTCCAAGTTAGAAGCTTACAAAATGAGAAAGGAAGAAAGTCAAAATTGAGGATACAAATGAAAAGAGGTTGATTTCTGAAACAGAAAAAGAATCTACCATAGTTCTTTTCTTCTTTCTTCTCTTTGCTTGCCTCTAAGACAACACTTGGCTTATCCACTTCTATATCCTTTGCAGGTGTAGGTTTCGGTTTAGTTGAAGGAGGTGTATCTACTTTTGTAGCCGTCACATCAACAGTTGCACCTGAAGACTGGGATTGAGATTGGAAGGGCGAGGAGGCAGGACTTGTTTGAGGAGGGAATGGAAACGGAAAAGGTGATCCTGATGGGAATCCAGGATTATTAAACTGGCTATTTTGCGTATTCATCTGGTTCATCATCGTCTTCATAGCTGTTTGCATTGCATATTTCTGAAATCAATGCAAAAAAATAATCCAGAGAGAGTAATAGCCAGTTAAAGAATAATGATAGAAAGCAATGAGAACTTGTGAAATATTTATCAATCAAATACTGGAGTTATGAAATGACTATAGGTCTGAATACCTGAATTGCATCACTAAAACCATAATGGTATGTAGGTTACCACCTATGAATCAAGTGACTACCCAAAAAAAAAAGAGGCAAATGTTCCATGCTTAAATATATGGTTCAAAAAGTGTGAGCAAACAGTGCACCTTGTTAAGATAAGGTGTCTAGTGAATAAAATTATCTCAGATACATGAGCACTATACACTAGAGATAACATGAAGCATAAAATCGTGGTTCTGCAAAAGACTAGCGAGAACCAAAGTCCCGCAAAACCACAGGGCCTAGTATTTGTACCTTTAAATTTGAAGTTACCTGCAATGCCATCAGAAAAAATAAAAGTCAGGCACTTATTAATAAATATTGAATCAAGAAAGAATATATTTATAGAGGAAAAACAATTAGGAAGGAATCTTGATACTCACCAATGAGAACAAAGCTGATAGCCCAACTCCAACACCAATCCAGAAAAGTGGTGATCCTCTACAAGAAAAAACTAGCAGGAATCAAACAATATACAAACTAAACACATTGTCGAAAACCAGGAAAATGATTGAAAATTACATGGTTGATGAAGATGGTGGTGGCACAGGCACACTAGGGGAAGCAACAGAAGTTGTCTGTTGATCACGACTCGATGAAAATATACTTGCAAAAGCTTTGCTTCTCTGTTTCACAACCACTGCAAATCGAACAGAAAATTAAAAGTCAACAATACTAACAATGAACGGCTTCTACAAGAATTCGAATTGCAGATTTCACAAAGTCTGGATTTTTTCAAAGAGATAAAGCAATTCATAAGCTCATCATTCACCAGTCGAAAAGGGTTCAAAATTTGAGTTTCAAATAGACAGATAAAAGTAAGAAACTGGAAAATTTCCCGCATTTTCTATCAAGAGTAATTGAGTGTCGAGTGGAATTTGCAAACTAACCGATTTCTCCAGTGTTATCAGGACGCGAAGAGGGAGATTGAGATTGAGCAGAAGCAGAGATTTTGGAGCAGCGGAGGACAATTCTAGGAGTCCGACGAGAAAACCCAGTAGGGTTTTTAAGCGAGGAAGTGAAATTGCATCCAATTAACAGCTTTGGAGAAGAAGCTGAGCAAGAAACTAGGGTTAGGTTCTCCATTTCTAATTGTTTCTTTGGAGAAAAAGAAACAGAAGAAGAAGAGCCTGAAACGATTCTGGTGAAGAGGAGGAAAGATATGATGAGGAAGAAGAAGAAGAATGAAAAACGAACAAGAGATTTTGGTCTAAAACCACCAGGTTTGAGTTACTTTTACTACTACTAGTCTTGGATCCAGTGTAGGTAAGTGTACTGAAACCTTTCATATATTAACAGGTGGCGATCTTATGACCGTCAAGATCAATGAACCGAGAGTGTGATGTGAGTGAGAAAGTCTTTCGTGGTTATTGCAAAAGCCACCCCTCCACCTTTGCTTTTTTGTTATGTTATAACCCGTATCTATTTTTTAGAATCAGTTTACACCTCGTTTTCTATCATAAAAGAAAATCATGATCTAGGTGATTCAGAGTTTCTCAAATACAGTATTGTGTTCTATTAGTTGTGTTTTTCGGATTGTCCAAAAAGTTGAATACACTGGCTACCAAACTTCTCCTAGTAGGGCCGACTCGAACCCAGGATGGGTGTGTAAGGGAAAACTGTCTTTACCACTAGACCATGGAACAGCTTTTGTACTAAAAGGCTGCCTCTAATATATAAAAAATATTTTGGCGCCTAAAGCCCTTGCTTCATGGGCTTTAGCCCAGGGCCGTCTCCTAGTCTCGGGACTCCGGAGAACCATAGGCTCTAGAATGCTTACCAAGGTTTGGGAAGATCCTTGGATTCCCACAATCCCAGCTAGAGTATTCTTGCCACAAGCAAATTTAAAAGATAGAACTCCTGAAGAACCCCCGCCCTCTTGGTAACTGCCCCACTTCCTCCCCTCATGATCTCGGAATGTCAGTTTGATGCTTCTTGGCATGGGGAAGCTTCCCTAAGTGGGCACGGATGGGTGTTAGTAGAACAAGATAAAGTTTGTCACCTAGGACTAAAGAGTGCTCGAAGAAGCCTATCACCGCTCCATGCGGAAGTCGACTCCCTGTTTTGGGCTATGGAATGTATGATCTCGATTGGCAACCCCTCGGGCGTCTTTGCATCCGATTGTTTCGACCTGATTTTCCTCCTTGATAACCAAGATGAGTGACCTACATTCACAGTAAAGTTGGCCTCTTTTCGGTTCCTTATTTGTTTTTTTTTCCGTCTTTTAACATTAGATTTATTCCTAGCAAGTTTAATTGTCGGGCTGATTGTTTAGCCAAAAAAACTTGGGCCCCTAAATAGCCTATTTTCCCATGTAAACTCGTCAATTCCTAATTGGAAATCCCTAGTGGAGAGTCTCTTTCCGAGGTATTGGATGAAAGACTATAATAGAATTCAGTTGGATAGAATTAGAGACGTAAGCTACAGATTTTTAAGGAATTATATAATTCTAACTATTGTAATTCTCAACATTTTAATAGAATTTACTAGAAATTATAAACCGAAACTTTTAAGAAAATAGAAAGAGAATGTCAAAAATCAATTGTATCTAACCCATCTATCCAATCTATACTATTCATCTTCTTCCTCTATTGGTTGGGTTCATAATCTGGTCATGAACAGAGGAGGCATCATCATCTCTCTTTCGTCACATAATTCTTACACTCCCTGATTCAATCCTCCCAGAGATAATTTTGTCTCCTTCAAAACATAATCGTACCTAGTTTCCGGCCACAGTATCGATGTCAGTCCCGGAGATGCTCCCACCTCCACCGTCAAGACGCTAACTGCACCATTCTCTGGTGAAAGTCTCCATGTCTCCCCCTAATTTCTCTGTTTCTAATTTCAATTTTGCTAACAGTCGAACCTATTTCTTCTCCGCAGTCTCCACTTCTCTAATCACACGTTTCAGAATCTGCAACGTTTCCTCCTTCTTCTTCGTCTCAGCACCACTCTCAATCCCTGCTAAGTTTTACAGATCGCATAGCTTCTCCGCTTTCCTCCCTAAATCCTCTCTGATCATTGCAGATTTCGAAACATCTCCATTGTATTCTTCTCGGAGTTCACGTCGATAACGAGAGCTATCGCCGCAGCTAATGGCGTCGAAGATGATTCTGCCCAATGACGATCCCAAACAGGCGTTACCGAAGGTGGAGGAAGAAGAAGAAGTGGAGGGTATACATGAAGGATGAGAGGATCGAGATACCAACGTTAGGCTTAATCGTGTAATTAGCAGTTTAGCCTTTCCATTAGATCGAGCAGACCCTTCCTTATACGAGCCATTTGAGACCCCTTCCAAATATCCATCCAAATCACACCTAAAAAGCTAAGAATTTGTTCTTTACATTTTGCACTAATATTTCTATTAAATTCTTGTCAAATGACATTGTCATACAAAACTACATATTATTGAATAACACTTGAATTTAATAGAATTACGAAATTGAAAAATTGAATAACGTTAGAATTTAAAAGAATTTATAAATTGACTAATTGAATAATACTAGAATCTAACATTTTATAAAATTCCGTCAAATTCATTCCCCCAATACCCCCCCCTTAATATAAATGGTGTTTGATAAAAATGAACATGTTCGAGAGATTTTTATGCCTGTAACGAAGAGAGTCTAGAACGTTTGCCAATTTAACAAAGTTCACACATATTTCATATTTGAACTAAGTTTTATTACACTAAACATTAATAAAGATACACTTTCATATAGTTTCTAACTATTTTTATGAAAGTGTATATAGTTTCTAAATATTTTTATGAAAGTGTAAAATGTTTCTCCTATGTCGTCAGATAACATCACTTCCGAGTTGGTAATAAAAAGTCAAGGCTCGTATGCAATTCGTACACCATCATCAAATTTGAAGAAACATGGATTATCCTGAGTCTCATTCATTCCCACAGTTCATTGTTCTGTCATATCCCATTAGGTAAAACACTGAATCATTTTTTCTTCTCCTTCTCTAAATTTAGTGAATTAAATGGTAACTCGATATCGTTGTAAGGAGAAACCCACTCTTGTTTGTAAACCAATCTTTAGAAATCAAAGACAATAACAATAATGAAGACAAAAAAAAAAAAAAAAACAGATTTCATAGCTGCTTCTCAGACAATGGGCACAAAGATTCCACATATGAGTGCATGAGAACATGGTAAGCTTCTTCAAGTTTTAAAATAAGAAAATATCTAACAAGATCTCTACACTGCTCTCTTCCTCGATCTAAAACAAATCCCCTTCAAGTATTTTAGATCGAAGTGTCATCAAGCAATACAGAGCTCAAGCTCTTTCTGTGGTTTAAATCAAGAAGAACCACACCATGTTCTCAGCCCATCTTTTCAGTGTGGTTAAAGCAATAAAATCATCATTGAGCAGCCAAAAACCAAACCAAAAAAATTCAATAAACAACAAATCTAGAAAACTGATTATGAGAAAAAAGCTGCTTCTCAGACAATGGCCAAGGTTGTCCACAGGAGCGAGCTTGAAAACGTGTATGTTCTTCAAGCGTCAAACCAGGAAAAATATCTATAAGAGCTCAACATTACTCTCTACCTTAATCTAAACCACAAAGGAGAAAAAAAAAAAAATCCCCTTCAAGCAACTTAGATCAAAGTGTCATCAAGAAACGCCGAGATCAAATCGAATCTTTCTCTAGTTTGAATCAAGAAGAGCAAGACCACATTCTCAAGTCCATCTTTTCAGTGTGGTTAAAGCAAAAAGAATCATCATAGAGCAGCAAAAAAAAAAAAACAAATTTCACAAAACCAAAGGTGTTAATTTGAGAAAAGGCTAACACTTTATCATAGAAAGTCGAAGATCTAAAACACCCAAACATAAAATCAGACATAAGTTGTCGAATCTCGAGAAAATGATAGAATCCACGGGAGAAAAAAAAATCCCAGAATTCCACATGTCCAGAGATTCCAAACCATCAATGAAGATGTTTGATTTCGCATCAGAACGTACGATTCTTTTAAGCTATACAAGAATGATAAGCTTAAAGACTCTTATCAGAAATCTGTTCCTTATATGCTACTTCTTAACCTAAAATTTCTTGGCAAAAATTTCGGATTTTAACAAAACAGAAAAATCGAATCTTTCTGGATATTCGTGATGATAGATAATCTTGCGGCGAAAGTCTTTTATTTATAGCTTAGGGTTTACATCGTTTTTATGGGCCTTTAGGTTCTATTTTTATTAGCCCATTAGCCCAAATAAAAGTACCTTTCTCTTCGCTGCTTCTTGGTTCCTCCCTGTTTTATTGATAAACAAAAAAAAAAAAAAAAACGATTTCTTTCTCAACTTGTCGATCAGTGAGAGCGTCTCAATTTCAGTGTTTCATCGAATTTGTAGAGGTAAGGTTTCCGTTTCTCTGGTTATGTTTCAATTCCGCTTTAAAACAAAACAAAAAAAAAAAAACTTTTTAAAAGTGAGTGAGTGACAAAAGCAAGCTTCTTCATGTTTATTACCAGGGTTTCGAGTTTCGACAATCTGAGATTCTCCTAGTGAATTAATGTCCAAAGGAGATTACTTTCGTCATTCTCCTAACCTTCTCAACAAACCCTTCTCTCTTATTATCTAGTTCGCTTTTGTAGTTATTATCTAGTTCGCTTTTCGAGTTAGGAAATTTTGGGAAATCGAAATCTCTATCATATCAAATTTCTTCAGTCTCCATGTACTTATTATCCTCTGTATTACACTGATCCGAATGTATAATAAGATGTGCCATGAACCTACCAACATCTCTTCGTCGGAGTCTGATTTTATATTCCCTGACGAAGACCACCTCCCCTTGACGTCACGCCGGAGTTTATTGCTATCGAGTGAAAGAGTCTCTCAACGTATCGCTGCTTCTGTACCTGCGTGAGTACTGTCTCTGGCTTACGTTTTTTTAAATTTCACTTTTCGTTTTTGTTTCACATACGTTTTCTTTTGTGTCTTCTGTTTGTAGATCGAATGTTGATAGTATCTTGAAAAGAGAAGGAGAAGAAGAAGAAAGCTGCGTCAATGAGCTGGTAATGAAGTCTTTCACTTTGTTACATTCAGTTTCACTTATTAAGTTTAGAGAACTGATTATGTTGTTTTCAGGGAGTAGTGTCAAATTGTGATGCTACGGAATCTGTAAACACAGAAATATTGGAATCTACGAGCATTGGTTGTAGTCAAGGTCTTAACGAGTCTGGAAACCTAAG